CTGGTCCTGTTCATTTGAAAAAGATTAATCTCAAACTCGATTCATAGAGCATCCTCTCTCCCTCACAGTTATTTGGATTGAATATGTATGTGATTTTATTGGTTTGGAGGTGTCTTTGAGCCAGGGTTCTGAAATACCTTTTTTCCTTTTGATTCTAGATCCTAAGGAGGGATTATTGTCTGTCAGGTAGGAGGGAGGAAGCAACCATATTTTTTTTTCATAAGATGGTTAGAATGTCCAGGGTGGGTCTTGGGGTATGTTTATCCTGGTTCAGACAGCTTCTCTCTGACAAGGTGTTTTCTGATGAGGTGCTGGTCTCTGCACTGTGTTGTACATTGTTTTCTGAAGGTATTGTCACTCTCTCTTCATTGTTTTGTGTGCAGAAACAGGATCTGTTCCTCTGGCCTTTTCAGCATTCACACCAATGATCTTCCTTTGGATCAGGCATACTTTTGCTTTGGGGGACCCCGAGGTGCCTCTTCACAAGGGGTGAAAACATCTGGGTAGGGTCTTCTGCCTGAAGAGAACTGGATAGGGCAGACTCTTCTAGCTTCTTCCCATGTGCAACACACTGGACCTCTGCAGCTTTCTGGGCATTAGGTTATAAATTCATATTAGCCTTACATTCCAGAGGACACTTATCAAGAGGGTACTATATCTCCAGGCTTCCAAATGATGGCTCCGGGACCGTTCTCTTTGAGTGGCAGTATCATGGTGGTTGCCAGGTTACTGCTTGAAGATTTCCCTGGGAAAGTTAGGAAAACTGGACAGAATCTCAGGTCTTTAGAAATGTCCTAACCTTCTGACAGAGGGAGGAGGAAAGAATCTGCCTTTTCCATAAAAAAAAATCAAACATTGCCCACAGTCCTAACCATAACCTCCTGGCCGGTGAGGTCTGTGGTCTGGTGAAAAGGGTGGTGTGGGGCAGTTGTTTGATAGAGAGGACCCGTATGGAATGCTTGGTTTCAAATGCTGGGTGTTCTCTCTAGAATGCAGATTAAGTCATTTTATTGTCAGTCCGCAGCAGAGTCCAGGGTGCTGAGACAGTTATGCCCTCATTATAACACGTACCCACTGAGAGAGACGAATAAGAATATATGGATATGTATTGTATCCCAGACTCCCAAAAGTCTAGTCCACTCCTCTGGTACTCTTCTCAGGTGGAATAATTACACAAACCCAAACGAGTAGCTGTCTGCTAAATGACAGCAAATGCAAATAAATACAACACACTTGGATTTTTCTTATGACTGTTTTATTTTTCTGACTGTCAAATTCAAGGTATTGAAACATGGGGCAGCAGAGATAGACCAGAGACTAAGCACTGTCTGTTCTTCTAGAGAACTCGGAACTGAGTCCGAGTACCCACTTGACAGCAAATACCCACCTGTAAATTCAGCTCCCGGCTATCTGCTGCTCTCTTCTGGCTTTCATTGCATGAGGTGTGCAGATGTACATTCAGGCCAAACACCCATATGCTATTAAAATAATGATATAATTTAAATCCGAAAAACTCGTGTGGATGGCTTTATAGTCCTGGAGCCCCAAACTGCATATTTATTCTGTTGAGGAACCCAATCTGACATCTAGTCTCAGTAAGAAACTTAAATTTGTGAAAATGCCTTTGTGATCTCTAAGAACACAAATGCTAATATTGTAGGCACGAGTATAGGTAATACTTTCACACACACACACGTGCACATGCACCTAAACACCTTATTTTTGTTGGTATATAACATGAGTTAATGTCTGGGGTGCATTTTTAATCTCACCGGCATAAGGAACACCACCATTTTAAGCCACATGTTAAGCCTGGTTCTAAGATTTTAGACAGTCTCTTGGAGTCTCAATTTCCTTATGTAGAAAACATGGATAATAATAGTACCTATTTATAGAGTTGTGAGAATCAAATGGGTTAATTCATGGACAAGTACCTAAACCTAAAAGAGGGTCTGGCAGGTAGCCGGCTCACAAATGGTTATTAGCATGTATTTGTTGGGACTACATAGGAGCTTCTTACCTTTCCTATATTTTGGATATTTTCTGATAGTTATGAAATGGATGAAACTAGCCTTTTCTTTTTGATGACGTTTCAAGCGATTTAAAGAATTATCCAGAGCAGAGGTCCACGTGGTGTGAGAAATCGCTCCTCAGGACTAGCGACGCCTCATGCAGGTGCCAGGTACCACAGTGCTTTAAGTAGTCAGGATATCAGAGGGCAGGTGAATGAGCTCCCTTGGCGGGGCAGGCATTCAGAAACAGATGAGCATATCTGCAGGTATCCATATTCCCGAGATTGCGCTGCGGGAAATTCATCAAGTGGGAGACCTGTGCAGGTCTCTCTTCCTGCCCTAATTCATACTTAGTCTTCTTTTGTCCCCTGTCGGCTTCAGTTGTCAGCATCAGCTTGCTTTCGAAGGGCTGTGTGTCTGCAGATTAAGACTGAAAGGGAAAGTTTGACTTAACGATTCTTCTCAAATGGCTTTTCAATATTTCATCGATTGTTTCGGCCTCATCGCTTTCCTACCTTCTGCTCATGCACAACTCTCATTAGGTTTATTGGCCTTCCCTGCACAGATTGGTTCAGATGAATTTCTGGATCGAGAGGCAGCCCAATTATCCATTTATTCCTTGTGTCTTTTCTAACTTTTCCATATCAAGCATTTGTTCTAAATTCACCATGGGTGTTCCAACTGAGCACTCGAGCTCCCCAGCAAATATTTGCCAGGCTATAATTTTTTTTTTGTTGTCAACAGTCAAATTTAAACATGGCCAATCTTATTCTAAGTTGGTTTGCATAAACCCTGCTTTTTAGAGAAGGCAAATGTTAATTTCTAATTCTTTCTTTGGTAGGTGCTATCCTCCATTTCTCATGCATTTTAATTAAAAAAATAAACAATTTGGGGGCAGTAAGGACTGCATTTGGACTTAAATGTTAAACAGAATGTATTTTGACAGGAACATAATGTGTAGAGGGCTGGGTTTGGGAACCAGTGAGATCATCTGTTTGGGAGTCTGTTCTTCTCATCCTATTCCTCTTTGTTATAACCTCAGGGATTCTCCAGAATGACCCCAGCTCCTTGATAGTGCCCTGCTGCTGCAGTGACCCAAGTAGCAGGGGCTATCTTGTTTGGGGGTTGGTACCTGCGGTGACCACCTGCGGTAGTAGATTGCATTTGAACTGCCAGGTGGTCTGTGTGTGTGTGTGTGTGTGTGTGTGTGTGTGTGTGTGTGTGTGTATATGAGAGAGAGAGAGAGAGAGAGAGAGAGGGAGGGAGGAGAGAGAGAGAGAGAGAGAGAGAGAGAGAGAGAGAGAGAGAGAGAGAGAGAGAGAGAGAGAGAGAGAGAGCTCGCCCTAACTGTAGGAACAGAATTTCTCTTTGGGGGTCAAGGTGGGTTTGGGGGAGAGGCTATTAAGCACATCACAGTAGATTTTCCCAAGCTGAATTCAAAATACTAATGCAACCCAGACTAGTGTGATAGCACCCAGGCTCTCCTTGAGCATTTCGCTGTCTCAGCTTCCCAAGTACTGGGATTACAGACATATCTGAATTCAGAATAGATAATATAGTCAAATGCTAAACTAATTAAGTCCCTTACTCAATAGCTTGCAAACATACACAACAATGGTCCCATTATTTTTTACAGGTCTCAGTTGATTTTGGGAGCCATGTTTTCTGCGCATGGCTGCTATGTACTGTTAAATCAGTCCTTCTTGTTTCCCTTTTATCGGGGAACTCCTGGTACTATGTAGTCTTCTTTTGTTGGCTGAAGCTGTGCTTCCTGTGGGGAGCATTCCATGACTATGCTGATCCAAGATAATCTGCCAATAAACCTGGCTACCAGCACACTGTTGCTCACGGGGCCCACAAAGAGGAGCTTAGTAGGACCCAGGCAGATCTTCTTATCCAGTTTGTCTATGGCTTTTTTTTTTTGAGATACTGTAGCATAATTGTGATAGAGATCACGTGACCTGAAAGCTTACACTATTTACTCGTTAACACCCATCTTGAACTAAGAGAGGGCCTCACATGTCTGCTCTTCAGTATGACCTGCGATAAATGTTTCTTAGTTTGTAGTTTATGAAAACTCTTTTAAATTCAGCATAGACTTTTCATATTTGCCAGACATTCTGGGCACTGAACAAATAATCACAAAATTACACTTGGAAATTGAGGTGAGTCTGGGCAAGGAACAAAGAAAACTCAGGAAGCAATTGTATTTTCAACAGAATACATTTATTATTGTTGTCTTGTGGTTGCAGAAAAGACCCTCCTAGGAGTTTTGCACCTAAACCACCCCTTTCCAATACAGGGTTATTCCTTGTTACCCACTGCAGCTAAAGAACATGAGTCTTGGACCTAGGAAGACGACTCAGTGGGGCAGAGCACTTGCTGGGCAAACATGATGACCTGGGTTTGGGTCTCCAGCACCCGTGTGAAAGGCTGGGTATTACTGCATGTCTGTAACCTCAGTACTTGGCATGTTGCAGGGAGAGAGGAAAATTCCTGGGGATGGGCGATCAGCCAGGCTAGCTGGAAAACTGAGTTCCAGGTTCAGTGAGAGATCCTGCCTCAGAGGAAGAAGGTGGGGCATGATAGTAGGACATTAAAGGTCATCTTCTGAACTCTGCATGTATATGTGCATACCCCTCAAACACACCCTCATACCTCTCACCACGAAAGACAGACACACATACACAAAAACATGCCTTGTCAAGTTTCTAGGCAGACACGTGAAGATGTGACAATTAAAAACTTACAAAGATGCAAATAGGCACATGGAATTGAAGGTTGGCATTTATTTCAGTGCTTAATGGAATCTTTTTGTGCACATAGTTGTTGCTTTGTGTGTGTGTGTGTCTGTGTCTATATGTCTATCTGTCTCTGTGTGTGTGTGTGTCTCTGTGTATAAAAGTGTAACTTGGCTTGCATTAATGTCAAACTCTTTGCTTAGTGGTATAAAGCTAGATTCACTGGTCTCTCTTCCCACCTGCCTAGCGGTCAGCCCATTCCCAGGGTGGAGTACACAGAAGAAGAAACTAAAACTTGGGGCATTGTGTTCCGGGAGCTCTCCAAACTCTACCCCACCCATGCTTGCCGAGAGTACCTGAAGAACTTCCCCCTGCTGACCAAGTACTGTGGTTATCGGGAAGACAATGTGCCTCAACTGGAAGATGTCTCCGCTTTCCTGAAAGGTAAGACTGGGCAGGCCGCCCTTCCCTATTCATTCCCCATCCCCATTTGATTTTCAAGGATGCACCGACACACCGATAGCCCCTTCTCTAAAAGGGAAAAGTAGAGGCTTAAAAAAAAGGAGCATTGACTCAATGATGGACTCCTGGCTGGAGAAAAGGATTCAGCTCTTTGTGCAGTTATGGGCTTGCTAAGGTCTGTTTTTGGTTGCTGTTGTAAATGGTAATCCCCAAAGGATAGCTACCAAAAATAGCAGCGCTGAGCCTCTGATAAACACGAACTATTACTTACACTTACCACTGGAGCTCATAGTCTATGACCAAGCAGCTGAGGGGTGTTATTTCTTTTGGGGGGCTTCTGTTGGCGTCCACCTGCGCTGCTTGGCCCATGGCTGCTGCATTATCCACTCCAGGCTTTTACTTCAATTTTCACCATGCCATTTCTAACTTGGCTGCTTCATGTTTTTTTTTTTTGAGGGGGTGGAGGGGTGGCACCAGGGTTTCTCTGTGTAAGAGTTCTGGCTGTTCTGGAACTCACTTTGTAGATCAGGTTGACCTTGAACTCGCAGAGATCTGCCTGCCTCTGCCTCCTGAGTGCTGGGATTAAAGGTGTGTGCCACTACTACCTGGTTCTTCCTTCTTATAAAGACCTTTATGATTTAAAATTCCCATAGTTTCCTCATCTCAAGAAGCATTATTAGATCACATCTCTAAAGTTTGTTGTTCCAAGCGAGACAACATTTACAGACTCAAGGTGATAAGGCTGTGGGCCTCTTTGGAAGGCTTTTAGGTAGCTTTTCATCATTGTTTCTACCTGGAATCTGCCAGACTGCCACTTCTAGCTTTGTGAACCTCTACATACTTAGCCTTTTCTTTCATTCTACCTTTAAAAGATATTTATTTATTTTTATTATATGAGTGCTCTCTCTCTGCATGTATGCCTTTATGCCAGAAGAGGGCATCAGATCTCACTATAGATGGTTGTGAGCCACCGTGTGGGCACTGGGAATTGAACTCAGAACCTTTGGAAGGATCAGGCAGCTGGTGCTCTTAACTGCTGAGCCATCTCTCCAACCCTCCTCATTTCACCCCTTCTATCCACATTAAGGTTTCCACCATTTCCCCATCTTCATTCCTAAGCTTTTTTCCCCCATTGACTACCCTGCCCGCTGCTTCCTCACAAACATCCCTCTCCAAAACAGGACCTAAAATGTTACTTTTCCCCTCACATATTGATTTAGAAGCTCTCAGAAGCTCCATCTACTTAAAAAACAAATTTAAAAAAACTGGGATTGACAAAGTTGTTGTTAAGGGTAGGACTAAATTAATAAGTATTTTGAGTTTTGTGGTCTGAGCTGAAAAACAATCAAGGCAGTTACACGGTCATTTTAATGTGCACATTAAAAAGTCCAAAAACTATTCTAGTACCTTCAAGATCTCAGTCTGGACTCCCCCTTTGCTCTGGCAAATGTGATGCACATCAAAAGAGTTCATATAATGAGATACGCAGAGAACAGTGTAGAAAACAGAATTTACTATACAGCAAAGCAAAGTACACCCTCAAGAGGTGAGAGCAGATTAATGGGCAAAGGGATGATTGCCTCAATCTATGTTTTAGGTAGGTTTTCTATTTCCAAACTCTTTAGAACAAACAGCTTTTCCTGTGGGACTTTTTCCTGGGTAGGTGATTGACAGGCCTGTTTGGATAGACTTTTACAAGAGGGGACAATGATGTGTATTTTTTGTTGTTGTTCTGTAAAAGAATACCCCCTGCTAGAGAGAGATCTGACAAGGGTGTGACCTCCCTGAGCCAGGTCAGACAGTTATCTATTAATGACCTTCTGGGGTATTGAGGATCTTTGTATTTCCTCCCAGGATCAGAGAGATGATTCTAATCTCGTCCCTGTGATAAGAGATTAGACTCCGGCTGTTCGGTCCAGGTCTTGGTTTATAGGCTGTTGATTGAGAGGGAGGTGTCTGATCTTTGTGTCCTCCAAGCTTGCTAATATCTCCCTACCCTACTGCATACCACCGGGACATGCAGACTGCACACCACCGACCATTGGAGACACACAGACATGACTAGGAGCTGAATTTGGAGGAGTCTGAACTGCTCACCCTCAGTGAAGACTCTGACCCAGCTCTCCAAGCATCTCCTGCTGCATAGCATGCTACATCATCCTTATACGTGCTGCTTTTGCTGTGGGCTCTTCATACGTTTGCTCAAACTCTACTGTTTAATTCTTCAGGATTCAAAGTTCTGTCTCCTGTCATTCCTGGTTATGACAGCTATCAGGACTCCTCCTCGGCTTTCCTTCAATATCATATGTGGGTCAGAATGCATGATAGATAGCCTTATAGTTGGGCCTCTGAGAGCCAGAGTGAGGCCCCGACCGTGGAGGAGGAGCCTGAGTGTGTGAACATTGTCCACTACACACTGTATTTGTGATTGAGAAGAGACAGGAAGCCCCTCACTCATCAGCTGCACTTAGCACCTAGTTACACAGTGAATTCTACTGTGGTGTAGCTAGCTTGTTCTCCTGACAACCCTGCAGCTCGTAGTTCTGTTTCCCACAGAAACTGCATGCAATCTGTATGTTTACAGTCGGATCCATTTCTCATACTATAGAATTCACATTTTGCCATCTTGTTTCTCAGCCTTAGTCATTAGAATATTATCCCACAGTTTTTTTTTGCCATATCGTTCTCCCAAGTTGCTATTTTCATGCAAGACAGAGTAGAGTTCAGTTTGAATCACTCTCTGGCTCATAGCAGAAATGAGGCAAGCTCATGTGTGTGGGTTTGAGTTTCTTTTAATTGACTCATTAAAAAATACCTCCTTTATATAAAGCAGAAACTTCTAAGCCAGTAATATATAGAGTCAAAGTTCTGAATGGCAAAATTTTGTATTTTTCTAATTTACATGAAATAAATTACAAAGCTATTAAAATAAAAAAATGTTTCTGGATACACGAACTCATGTCCCACATGTGGGATATGCTGCCATACTGATGTAATATAGGGAAAGAAGAAGATATACTTATCCTTTTGACACCCAGGAATACAATCCAAGTTGGGAATTTTTGGCATAAACATAATGCTGCTTTGAATTACGGCTCCTGAGAAGAGTATTATTTTTACGTTGCTATTCCCAGCCATCCTGAGGTGAACTTTAATAATAACAAAGTTTTCAGAATGGGGCTTGGGGGCTCTACAATGCTTACATCTGGGGAAAGTCCTCCTGGATATCACACTAAGAGAAAAGCCAAAGCTAGGAAGACAAAGAACAGATGTCCCTGTTGTGCATGGAATCTAAAACCATGGAATATACAGATACAGAACTAGACAATAGACCAGGGGTTGCACTAAGGTGGGGAAGATGTTAGGCAAATGATACAAAGTTGCTGTTGTACACAGTGAGTAAGTCTAGAGACATAACTTACTCATAACTGGTTGAGCACACTGTTACATAATGACAATTTGCTAAGAGTAGATTTTTATGGTGCTCTGACCATACACATGGAACTATGCAGAGATAGGTATATTAGGTTGACTGTTTCAATCATTTGAGTTTGTGTATGTTTACAAAAACATTTGATATTTTAAACATATATGTTTTTACTAAAAACAACTATACTTTCAAGTAGAGAACAATCAACACAAAATTACAATTTTAAAACAGTATTTCAATAAACCATATATATGTGTGTATATATATTTTTTTTTTTAAATAGCATTAAGACCATTGATGAGCTGCGGCTTCATGGTAGCTTCTGATTTTATCATATTCTTGTTTTCTTTCTTTCTACCCTAAAGCATTGTAGTATACAGTGCTTCAGTACCACTTGTAAACAGTGATTCTTTGTGCAACCATGCAGAATGATGCTGGAGGGACTTGCACAAAAGCTGCAGAGGAAATGGTTCCAGGACGCTAGTGGAGGAAGAGCCTCAGCTGTGTGTTCCTCAACACTGGCATGCAGAGTGGATCCCCAGGGGACTATGTAATAGGCACCATTCTAGGCTATAATCTCCTCCTACATACCTGAGTTTTCTTACCCTGATTTGGCTTTTGAATTTAAGTCCCTAAAAATGCTTTTATCCTTCCTTTTTAACGAACAATCTTGTTTTCCTGGAAACCATCACGCGTGAGCATAAGCATGTTTTAGTCACCAGAGTCCACAAACATGATTTCTGTTAATAGGAGGTGTCATCCATTCATCAGGAGTTTTAAAACCTGGATGATTTTCTTTCTGGAACATCCTTGCAAATAAGCGACCCTAAAAATTCATCATGCATGAATGTATTATTTAATGACTGTCATTGCCAAAGACTTTTTCAAAGGGTGAAAGCATACACAGCAAGAGTAAGAAATGGTAAATGAGCTTCTAGTTCTTAAAAGATTAAGAAAAAATTGAAAATCTTTATGCTAACAACTCATGTGTTGGGCCCTCAGGTCCCGAGGTTTGAATTTAGTTGATTCTTTCTCTCGTCTCTCTAGAGCGATCTGGCTTCACAGTGAGACCTGTGGCTGGCTACCTGAGCCCAAGAGACTTCCTGGCTGGCCTGGCCTATAGAGTGTTCCACTGTACTCAGTATGTGAGGCATGGCTCTGATCCCCTCTACACCCCAGAACCGTGAGTACTGTGTTCTCAGCTAAGCTGCATATGAGGGTCACTGCCGTGTAAGCTGGTCAATGCTTACTTGACTTGATTTCATGTTTTTAGCAGTGAGAATGCAACACTTGTCTGGAGAAAGGAGAGCAGGCCTGGAGGTCAGCATCTTCAGCTGGTACCCTGGCCTCTGATAATCTAGCTCAGGTCATCTCTCTCACTTTATTGCAACACTTAACGTTGTGCTTGGGCCAGACTGCCCCCATCCCTCCATCATATATTATATCCTGATTGCCATCTCCCCTCCCAAGTTCCTCCCCTTTCCCCCAGATCCACTTTTCCTTTGTTTCCCTGAAGAAAATTGGCAGGCCTTCCAAGGATGTCGACCAAACACGGTATATCAAGTTGCAATAAGACTGGGCACCTCTCCTCATATTAAGGCAGGATGAGGCAACTCAGTACTAGGGAAAAGGTCCCCAAGGCAGACAAAAGAGTCAGACAGCCCCTGCTCCTACTGTTAGGAGTCCCACAAGAACATCAAACTACACAAGCATAACATTTATGCAGAGGACCTAACTCAGACCCATACAGGCTCTCTGATTGTTGGTTCACTCTACAAGTATAGCAAAGTATCACTGGCTTTCCTTTCCTTGGATGTGCGTGGCTCTAACTTGGGTGTCTAGGCTGTGCAGCCTCTGGTTTCTGGTCCTCCAGACAGTGTCAGGTGTGGGTTTCCTCTTGTGGCATGAGTCTCAAGTTAGACCAGTCATTGGTTGGTGACTCTTACTAGCTCTGAGCCACTTTTACTCCCCAGCACATCTGCAGGCAGGACAAGTAGGTTAAAAGTTTTGTGTCTGGGTTGATGTCCCAATCTGCCTGGTTCCAGAAGATGGCCAGTTCAGCCTCCATATCCCCTGTTACTAGGAGTCTTCATTGCAGATGAGAAAAGGGAACTATTGGCACATAGCCAGGACACATGCGCCTCTTGTTGGGAGGTTCCCCATGGGTCAGGAGGTTGAGGTTCACCTGCATATGTCACAGTACCTAATTAAGCTCTTCTCATCTTTTAGGTCATTCTCAAATGCAAAATTCTGTTATGTTCCTGTTACAGTTCTTACCTTCCTCTATCCCCTCCTCTTCCTTAGTTTTTTGTTTGTTTGTTTTTGAGATGTGGTGGTTTCTGTGTGTAGCCCTAGCTGTCCTGGAACTCAGTATGTAGACCAGCCTGGTCTCAAACTCAGAGATCCACCTGCCTCTGTCTCCTGAGTGCTGGGATTAATGCCCTACCACTGCCTGGCATTCTTAGCTTCTTGAATGTTCTTCCATTCTGTTCATCACTTCTAGAAAGCAATGAAGCATTTGAGCTTTTTTCCCATCAACGTTCCTAAAAAAATTCATCTTGTGGCCCTTATATTAATTCTTTCCTTGCCATTGGGAGGGCTAAGTAGACAGAGAAGTTATAAGATTGAGCCATTTGGGTGCCCATCCCATGATGAGGGATGCTCTCTCTGCCTGGACTCTTGGGGGGAGGGCCTAGGCCCTCCCCTGAATGAAATGACAGACTCTGGAGATCCCCCATGGAGGGCCTCACCCTCCCTGGGGAAAGGGAGTGGGAATTGGGTTGGGGAGGCAGGGGAGGAGGGGAGGGAGAGGGAGCTGGGATTGACACATGAAGCAAGCTTGTTTCCAATTTAAATAAAAAAACAAAATAAAAAACCCAAACAAAAATAAAGATTGAGTCATATAATGGTTGTGGGTTAGCAGCAGGGATGGTGGTGGTCATGGTGAACTATGAACCCCAATGATTAAATAGTTAACTCTAGCCGGGAGGTGGTGGCGCATGCCTTTAATCCCAGCACTCGGGAGGCAGAGGCAGGCAGATCTCTGTGAGTTCGAGGCTGGGCTGGACCGACAGCCTCCAAAACAATATAGAGAAACCCTGTCTTGTAAAACAAGAACAAAAACAAAACAAAACAGTTAACTCTATAATAAATGGGATTGTATAGTCTACAAGTGCCAGATGCCGTATATTTTACTCACTATACTTAAAAGTGTAGTACTTACTGGGAAACACCTATGTGCTTGGGTAGTTTGGGAAAGAGACCACATTTTGCTGCCCTGGGCTTATGGGATAGGGAGCAATGGTTAGTATGTAAACAGACAAGTGATAATATGACATGAGCTGTCAATAGCACCAGCGTGTGCTGTGTAGGTGCTGTGAAGGAAGATGAGGCAGAAGGAAGATATGGAGAATCAATTGTTTGACATTTTGCTGTGGGTCCCCAGGGTGACCTTGGCAGATGATGTTGGAGCAGAGCTCTGAGTGCAAATATTTCAGGGTAGAGAATTCCAAGTCAGAAGAGGGAGCAGGGAAGGAAAGACCCTGAGGCTTCAAGCTGCCATGGTTGTCTGCCTTCCTGGGCCCCCTTCAGATGAATGCCTCACCCCAATTTTAGACTAATTTCTTGCCCACTGTTCTTCAAGGCACTCAAGTTATCACTTTGCTTATGATGCTGCTTTCCTTGAATAAGCACATGATTAATGGGCTGCCAAGGTCTTCACTGGGGAGCAGAGAGCCCTCGAGGTCTGAGCTGTTAAGTGGCTGGTAGCTGAAGAGGTGGGCAGGGATTAGAGCTGAGCTTCCAGCGTCCCCACCCCCTCCTATGCTGGCACGAGTGTGGCTGGCCAGGTGGGCCCCGGTAGGGTCACTATATATATATATATTTAGTTCTGTTCAGCTTCTCTGAAAGTGTTTTAGGGTAAACAAAGGTTACTTATAGGACTCCAGACATTTGGAAAAGAAATGCTTCTTAGTAGAAAGCTCAAAGGAGTGTTGTCAGAGTTAGAAAGGCAATCTCTAAATCTAGCCCAGAGGGTTTACAAATGGCCCTGTTTACAAATAGCAGGCACTTTGTTAGCTCTCTTTGAGTAACTGGCCCTCCTGAGACTGTGCTAGCGTGCCAATAGGTATGCAGAAAGAGAGGGCCAAAAAAAAAAAAAAAAAAAGAGAGAGAGATTTTAGCCACAGAAGCCTATAATAACATCTTGGGATAATGTGTTATGTTTTTACCAAAGTACTTACGGTCAATTCATTCAGCAATATTATGTGCAGTGTTAGCAAGGAGGTACAGCCAAGTTAAAGATGAATACAATATAGTTAGCTTTTTTTTTTTTTAAGGCAGTTGACATCTGGCAAAGGAGATAGAATCACAAGTAATCAGAAAAGAGTTTGTTTAGGGCTATTTCTTGGGTACACACAAAGAATTTAAAAGAGGATCCCAGAGGATAGAACTATTCAGAGGGAATGGAACCCAGAATAGAAGTTGGGAATGGTGAGCAGAGAGCTCATTTTCGGACAAGATCTGGTGGAAAGAGAAAAAAAAAAAAAAAAAAAAGAGGGCTTTCCAAGTCAAGGGAAGAGCCAATGCGAAGTTGTGGAGGCAAGCAGAAGGTTTTAGCAGCCGGTTTCATAGAGCAGAGTGGCCAGGACACAGCTTCCATCAGAGGTGGGAGTCATCGAGTACATCAGTCATTTGTCTGCATAGGCCAAAGGGGTTTTGGTTTTTGGGAGGCGCTGGGGACTGTCCAAGGTTCTGAAGCACATTTGTGTTTGTGTTTGAGAAAGATGACTGGCTACTGAGGAAGTGTGGAGAATAATCAGGATGGATTGTTAGCTGGGCTGTTGACGTGCTCCACATCCGGTGTTGAGCTAGGGAGAAGCAGTGCCCTAGTGGGGTGTCTATTTCATATTCTCTGAACCCCATAGGAAAGGGTTTAATGATATTTCTGTGATTGCAGTTAAAGACAAGGAGAGGGAGGGCCCCTACGCTAGTATTTTTTGAGAAAGTAAATGGCTTGTTATTTTTAGTAATTATTAAGAATACTGGAAGAATACAGAGCTTGGGGGCATGAGGAAATCAAGAGGAAGATTTGGGTTGGAATATGCTGTTTCTGAGATACACAGGGTTGGGATTTCCCAATAAAGAAAACTTTAGTTCTGGAGTTCAGAAGTGAACCTGAAGATTGTACTATAAAGAATTGAGAACTTGAATTTTTTATTATTTGAGAATTTAGTACAATGTGTTTTGAGCATATTCACCCCTGTTGTCTCTCCCCATAACTCTGCTCAAATCCACTCCAGTCCCTCTACTTCCCTAACATTGTTTTTTTTTTCTCTGTATTTATAACCACCTAAATCCAATTTGTGCTGCCTAGATAGTTCTAGGTCTGGGGGCTATCGACCAGAGCATGATTGATACACCAGAGGCCACACCCATAAAGAAAACTAGCTTCCCTCCCCCAGATTCATAGGCTATTCAAAGATCTCCAGTTTTGCACGAGTTCCCACCCATAACCAGGATGATTCCTGAGCGTCATCCCCCTCAATGGGAGAATGCTGATTGGCTTGACTTGTGCATGTAGCCACAGGTACTACAAGCTCATGAGTGATGCAGTTCTGTCATGTCCAGAAGACACTGTCTCACATCTGTCTGTCCTGACTCTTCTGGAGAACTTTCCCTTTCAAGTATTGGAGTCTGTGAACATACAGACAAGAGGAGGCTGGGTCACAGCAGAGAACCTGGGAATTCATTAATTTGGTGTTTTTACCAACTCATTTTTTGATTGTGTAGTCTGTCTGTCTGTCTGTCTGTCTGTCTGTCTGTCTCTCTCTCTCTCTGTGTATGTATGTGTGTGGGTGTAGATGTATATGTGCAAAGGATGACCTTGATTTTGTCATTCCTCCTCAGGTGTCATCTACCTTGGGTTCTAATGCTTTGTGTGGCAAGACTTTAGGGATTAATCTATTTATTCAACCTTAATTTTAATATTATTTATTTGTTTAAATTATTTTGTTATAAATGATGTACATATAGGGTGCATAACTCAAAGGGTACGCTGTAAACAGTGAGTTCCTTTTCTTCCTTCTAAACTTGATTCACCCTCTCCAGAGGTCACTCTTGATACTGGTTTCTATGATATCCTTCTGGAAATACGCCATGCAGAATAAATTCTCTGTAGAGATC